AGTTTGATACTATTGTGCCTCACTCTCTCAGAAGGAACCTTCAGAACCTTCAGAACTTCAGAACCGTCTAGCTCTCCTAGACGCTCAAAAATAATCTGATATGCTCCCAGTAGTAGAGACACAGATGGGAATCATTTTCCAATTGTAGTGGACAAAGAAATGCAAAAGGCACAGTTCATATTGGAGTATTTATGGATGAAGTGATAGGCTTATCTGGGATTTGCTTTAAAATTATCTGAAGGGGGCAGAAGGGAGGGCGGTATAGATGTGATATTGTCCCTGTGTTGCTGATTGTTGAGTACATTTATGCTTATTCCACTACATATGTGAAACTATATGTAATATATATGATGTATACAAACATTTACACAATAAAAAGATTTTATAAGGGCTGAGGGTGTAGCTCAGTGGTATTTTTCTAACATATACAAAGCCCCGTGTTCAATTCCTAGAAAAATACACTCACATCTTTTAAAAATGGAACTGGCATACAACAATAACAACAACAACAACACAGGAAGCACTCCCTTTTATTTCTTCCCTTCTAAGAATTTATAATTTTAGTGAGAAAATGGAGGAGGAGAGGCTGAGATTAAGATGAATATACAAATGACTAGAGTTCAAGAGAGTATAAGGTACACTGTCCTGTATGGATTCATAAAACAGAAGACCCATCTGGGGGGGTCCAAGGACCAGTTCTAAATTAAGGTGCCTGTTGGGAAGAATTTTGCAAATTCAGATGCACTGCTTCCAGTAAGGAGAAACTAGATGCAAGGCTAGTGGTACAAGCAAGTGGTACTGACCTTTAGTTGGTAAAGCCTAATTATTGGAGATTTAAGTGATAGCAAAATAATGTATGGTCTGGGGATTTAGCTCAGTGGCACTGCGCTGGCCTCACAAGCACTAGGTCCTGAGTATGATCTTCAGTACATATAAATAAATAATAAAAAAGTAGGTGAAACTGTTTTGAGGAGCACATGATATACAGGATTTAGATGTGATTATATAAATTACACATTGATAATAGCAAAGACCATTTCCTCAACTGTCACTGTAGGACATTTTTGCCTTTCAACATTCTCAAAGTCACCAACCACAGCTGATCGATGTAGAGTCCCTCTTGATTGAGACAGATACAAACATTCCATTACTCTTCTGGAGTTCTTTTAAGATTAAGAGGTCAATTTTGTTTTAAATAAAGTTTCTATGAAACATCTGAATTGACAGAGTACTTTCATGAAAGTTGCCTATGGGCCAGTATTTAGCTCAGTGGTTCTGCTGCCTGCCTCTCCACCATAAGGACCCGAGTTCAATCCCCGGTACCACACACACACACACACACACACACACACACACACACACGAAGTAGAAGAATGGTGTGATTTTTCCAGGTGTTGTGGCACATGCCTGTAATCCCAGTACTTGGGAGGCTGAGGCAGGAGGATCACTGTGAGTTTGAGAGCAGCCTGGGCTACATATAGAATTCCAGGTCAGTCTCAACTACATAGTGAGACCCTGTGTAAAAAAAGAAAACACTCCCCCAAAAGTAAAAGTTGTCTAATTTTCACAACCTTGCAGAGTTGGAAATTTAGAAGTGAGAAAACAGAGGTGGATGTTAAGTGATTAGTACAGAATCATATAGCTAATAAGTAGCAGAGTCATAATCTGGTCTCAGACTCACAGGACCTGGTTACTCTCAACTCGGGGGATTTGAAATTATCCAAAGATCTGTGTATTGAAGAAAAAGGGCTGGGGATGTAGCTCAGTGTGAAGGTTGTGGTTCAATCTCCAGTACAAAAAAAAATTACTCTTAGGCAGAAATATAGCTCAGTGGCAGAGCATTTGTCCAGCATGCTGCATTCTCAGCATAGCAAAAGAGAAAAACTGACTTTTTCTTCTTTTCTTTCTTCTTGTTTTGCCCTACATATATGTATCTAGAATTTGAGAAGTCTGAAAAAGTAAGACTACCTTCTATCTCCCCACCCCCAGATTTAAGGTCCAGACAGGAAAGAAAATCTCTTTTGCTGGGATGGCCCCTTGTATCCCTATCTTATCTGTCTGGTAGTCTCCTGCAGTGACACTGAACCACAAGTCTCTTTTGTCTTTGCTGTCATTCTCCTGTGGGCCTACCTGTAATGGGGGAAGGTAATGGATCATGTATTCAGGCTGTAACAGTGTTAGTTGGCAAGTGATGACATCTTTGTGAAATGATCTCTTCTCTGAGAGGAATGGGACACGATGGAATGTGGCTCTAACTCTGGCAACCTAGGTCACATCACAGTCTGGTATGTGTGACTGTGAATGTGGGTATCAGTGGTAGCTGTGTACTTCTGGAGCTGGGTATTCAGGAAGGGGAAATGTTGGTTTTCCCAATATGAATGTGTGTTTATGTATTTGGGACAGAGTGCAGAAACATTTGCATATGTCCATGTAACAACAAGAGTTGTGGTGTAAGGTATACATAAGTATATGTATATATGAATATCAATAGGCAGTTAATCTGCTAACCTACATAAAACAGTACCTGATGATTGAGAAGCAGGGTTCTTATGAATTCAAAGGCACTTTTTTAAACCCGAGGTTGATTATATCAGTCTCTCAGTCTGAAGGAAAGAAGGAAATCAGACAGGGGTCTACTCTGAGGCCTTAGTTTCTTCCAAGCCTCAGTAAGGAGGCCTTATAGCATCGCCTTACCTAAATGAGAAAATTCAGGTTCTTGAAGCTAGCTATTCGCTTCCTACTATGGTCTCTTGTTAGGAGAAATTCTATATAATTTTGGGAAAAATTATTTCACAATTAAATTATGATTAGGCCTAGTTTTCCTGCCTGCAGGTGGGCTATGGAATGTTGAGACATGTTGCCTCTGGTTGCAGCTAAAACCTCAAGGGTCCCTTGATGTTGTGATGCTCCAGGGCAAGATTACACCAGCTGATGACATCCTGGGGAGGAACAAAATCTTCTTCTGCATAGTTCCTCTTGGTTCTAGTATTATCACCTTTGCTACCCTCTAAGTAATCTGTTACATTTGTTACTCCCGAGATGTACTGAATAAAAGTGCGGCAAGCTCCAGGTTTTTCAGCTTTGCTACCCAGAGCAGCACTCATCAGGCCCAAAGCTCAGGTTCCTCTCTAAGTCTCATTTCTGTCTATGTATTAATTCGTCTTGTGCTGTAGTGGCTCACAGGAGAGTAGGATTTACTGCAGAGATTCTACTAATGTCCCCTTTCTCTGTTCCCTACAGCCTCTGATTAGCAAGATCTCTTGCCTGCTTTGCCTCTCATTCCCTGTAGTTACTTGCACTTCACTCTGTTTCTGGGAGGGGTTTGAATCTCATCACCAACATGCTGACTTCTGGGAAATATGTCATTATTCACTGCATTTGAAGCTATGGAAAGGAACCATAGGGGCTGGCCTGCTGTTGCAGCTGCTAGTGCCACCAGTTATGAGTATTGCAAGAGAGAAGCTGGAACTTCTTGTACTTTCTGAAGGAGGTGATACTAGTGTGGAGTCTTAAGGAATAAATATGATTCAGATAGATGGATTGGAGGAGTGGTATTTCACCTGAAAGGAGGGCATTAGGAAATGTCTGGAGGCTATAAGGACTATGGAATGTTCAGGTCTAGGCCAAAGTCCTGCTCAGTGGCAGGAGGCATGGATAGATAAAATGGGGTCTTTCTCTCCCGGGCATGAATTTAGCTGCTTGCCAGTCTACTGCCTTTGTTTAAGGGATTATTTATTTATTTATTAAATGTGAGACAATGTCTTGCTATGTTTTCCAAGCTGAACTTGAACTCCTGGGCTCCAGTGATCTTACCACATCAGGCTCCTGCATAGCTAAAACTTCAGCCACCCAGATAACACTGTACTAGCTCATTGTTTTTTTCCCTGCCCCTCATACTCGTTATTGAACTCAGTGCCTTCGCACTGAGCTACATTCCAAGCTCTTATACTTTTTTTAGTTTTAAGACAGGGACTTGCTAAGCTGCCAAGGCTGAGCTCTAACTTGTGATCCTTCTGTCTCAGCGCCCTAGAGTGCTGGAATAGAGGGACCTATGATCAATATCCAGTATTAAAAATGAAAAAAACAAACCTCATTTCCAGGGTGCTGGGAAAACAGCTTTGTACCATCATACCCTGCTGACATACTTTTTTTTTTTAAATAGTAAATTCTTAGGAGGGCTAAACCCCTTTTCTTCAGGAAGTAGGAAATCTCTGGAAGCAAGCAAAACAAACCTCCAAAAGGGATTTTGGGGGAAAGAGAGGAGGAATGAAAATATCTAAATGTAAGCATACACTGTCATCTTTTGTAATCTGTGATCAGATGCAGGTTTATTATGTAAGCCATTGAATTTCTGCCTTCTTGGATGCATATTATTCCCTCTTGTTTTAACTTTTTTGTTATTGTTGTTCAAGATAAATTACAAAGGTTTATTGTGCCAGTGTGGTGGTGCAAGCCTGTAATCCCAGCACTCAGGGGGCTGAGGCAGGAAGATCTCTGTGAGTTCGAGACCAGCCTGGGCTACATAGTGAGTTCCAGATCAGTCTCAACTGCATAGTGAGACCCTGTCTCAAAACAAAAACAAAAACAAAATCAAAAAATGAAAACCCCAAAGGTTTATTGGACCAAATGCCACCGGAAAATGGATCAAAATAATACATGGGCAAGTGATAAGAAAAGTTTACCATATATTGACATTGGTATCTATTCAACTGATCAAAAATAGTCCCTATCAATTTCTCTCAATGAAACTTTAACAGTAACAAAGCCCAGAATTTTCAATTTTTAGCCAATACTGAAAATTAAGCATACTGCTATTTCACTTCCTAAATAGATGGATCACCAAAGTTTGACATTTAAAAATTAACAGTGTGGAGTGAGGTATTTTAAGTCCTAAAGAAAACAACCTCCAAACTAGAGTGATGTATCCTGCAAAATTCACTTTCAAAATGGACGAGGAAATAAGATACTTCCATGACAAAGAACACCTGAGAAACTTCATG